TTGATAATTGAAGGGAAAAAAAGCCCAATTGATGCAATGGCACATAATAGATCACTAGGTTAACATCTTTTATCAAGGGTAAGAAGTTCAGGAATTCATCTCTTACTACAAACAAAAATACGAAGGCCATATAAATATGAAACAGATGTAACATGAAGGCATTAAATGCCCATTTAAAATACCTGAATTTTATTTAACCAAGTCTGAACCAGACTGACAAAATCCTCACAAGTACTTGATCCATCAGCACTTTGAAGTGATTTCTCTACAATCTCATCGGGGCTCTAAAAAATTGCAACAGAAATCAGCAGATATAATATCTTCATGCTGCGTTTGAACAAACCACAATAACTGATACACAATAAGTTCCTACAATTGGCTATGAGTTCAAGGAAGAAAAAGAAACCGACCTAAAAACCAAGAACAATATTACATTCAGAAGTTGGTGACAACCATACTATGATGACAGATTAAAAAATTGATTTTGGAGTATATTAAACTACAAATATCTAAGACATGTGAAGTTACCGACCATATATGAACTAACAAAAGCGTGGGAATGTGTTCCACGGAGAGGTATCCCAAATAACATCCCAGCTGCAACATTGCTGCCAATGTAAGAAAACAGAGAAAAAAAACATAACATCAGCTTATGGTCTCAGTTTCACAATATGAAGCATGAATAAAAAATGGGAATAAGAACACAATATTTATCAATCAGAAATCAAATGCCACTATTTTCTAGGAATTCTAGGAACCATCTTATTAGCTGCTTTAGGGGTTCAAAGTAATCATAAGCACAAAAAGGACAAAGTTCGGAAGTGAATGTTTTTCCAAAAATAAAATAAACAAAATAAACTATGTTCCTCTGCCCCTGTACCACCCACCTCTATCCCATCCCCAATATTTTATAAAATAACATATAGCTCCCACAAAATTTCATAAAAATATACATATATTTGTCTCATATATTTTAAGAACACATGTAACTTACTATTATAGAAAAGTAAATTTAAAAAATATAAAATTAAGACATAGATATATTATATTAAGTATTAAGTTTGCAAACTGCAAGGGCAGACTAAGAGCAGAGACAGAATATGCTGAAGGGAGATGAACCAATGCTAGTCTACTTAAGGAGGATCAAGGCTAAAAGCGGTAAATGAATAAGGAGGGCAGATTAGGCGCGTCTAACTCAGCCTAGCTATTTTGTTCCATTTTATTTCTTGTTTATTTCTATTATGCCAGCTGGCACAAGTATTCTGTTATGTCTGTTTTGAATTCCTCTTCTGTTATTGTACCCCACCATTTCCAGAAGCTAGTAGTACAAATGGAAAATGTAACCGAGAATGGAACAGACTGAAAAATCATAAGAAAATTTCGAATTATAATCAGAAATCACCGGAAGCTTTCAGTGATTCCCTTCATTTCTATTTTATATTCTCCCTACCTCTCTGTTTCTCTAATATTCTTCTTCTCTCAACCTAAACCCTAATTCTTCTTTCAAAACCCTATCAAATACACAAAATTCACTACTTTGGTCCATGTCTAAGCTCCTGAAATAAACATTATTATTTATTTAAGAGTAGGATATTTCAAAAAAAAAATTAAGAGTAGGATAAATAAAATAAAAAAATTATCGACATATTTATTCAAATTGATTGAAGTCATATGGAATGTAATCTTAGTTTATATGAGAATCTTATATGAAAATGAGAAATAAAAAGTGAAGCTAAATCTACCATAGGAGGGTTCACCCCAGCATCGGATTCATTTTGAACAACACTATTGTTTCCCCACACCCCCCACACCCCAAATTTCAGGGTTCTGGCACTGCTTTAGTTAGTATGATTTCAGACTATGTATTTTAGAAGTTTGTTAATGCAGATAAACTGATTTAGTTAGATGTAAGGAGGCTGCAAAATACATAAATGATGTTTGGGAGCAGGAATTACCTTGTTGCATCAAATCCTCCCATGTAGCAGTATTTTGATGCACTTATTGCACCATCAGGTCCCTATGTATAATACAAATTTTCGGATCAAGAAACATTTGAATCAAAACTTCAGATGAAAAAAATAATAAAGCTAGCAACCTGAGCTCGCCGAAGGCCAAACTCAAGTAGAAGTTTGGATTTCCCAGCAACAAACCGATGTCTGGCAGCATTTGTAGCCACCAAGGATGCATAATTGACAAGATTCAGAAATGGAGTTTCCAACAGTTGAACCACCTAGAAGAAGAAACTTAAAATCTTAGCTTCATCTATAAAAGTGAAATGGCAGGCATGTAAGTGTTACTCATCTGGTGGATAGTACTCACAGCAACTGGTCCTTCAACTCTCAGCAGGGGTACCTTAGGGAAAACAACTGATCCCTCTGAAACAGAATATACTTCAACATCAGAACAGTCAATTTCCCTAAGATAATCGCAGAAGCCCTCCTATGATTTAAAACCAGGTGAGTAGATTAGTTAGAAATCATAAATTAAATTGACAGCATCACAACATCTCAGCAACTATATCTTGGTCTACTCATAGAAAGAATATAGATCTAAAACTTTTGGTTTAATATGACCTTTGTCCATTAAGATAAAGGAGAATCTACAAAAAAATCCATGGCAATTATTCAGCTTCATCATGTGTTTAAGTACTTATAGCAGTTCATAAGACTTAAATATTTTAACATTCTGGATATTTTTAAGAGATTAGATTGACAAAGTAAACCCTACTCCCAGACTCTGGACTCTGGCATCAAGGGAAAGGTACCTACATGAAACACGATGAACGGAAATGAACAACCAAATATTAGGTATCATTTATGAATTTGTCTATTTTTATACTTCTCAGCATCTTAAATATGAATTGAAGATGTAAATGTTTGTTACTATTCATGGACGTAAGAGCAGTGTTCAGCTAAACCACAACAATTTTCTGGAACCAAATTTAGGGTTGGGGAAACAGATGTGATAAGCAAATTGTCTAGTTTACCTCACATGAAGGCAAGGTTTCACGGATAAATGAGATCTCATCCTCAGTTAATCTGAAATTAGCAATGAATCTTATGCATTCCTCTAAGCCAGCAAAGACTGTATATTCACCACCAAAAGGATTCTTCCGAAAATATAAATCAAACCTGAAGGACATTGTAAACCATACAAAAGACTTCTCAGACAGGAAAACAGCAGACTTAAACCTTTTTTTGTTTTCTTTTCAGACAGAAAGTAGAAAGTTGGTATATTAAAGCAAAGAAAATAAGTTGCCAACCACACGGACAGCCCATCAGACTGCCCCCCGATCAGTCTGTTAATTCGATCCTATTACCATTCTTCCAACCCTGTCGAATGTCTGACAGTTGAAATCCTCTCAGATGAAGTCTCACATTAGTCTAAACCTCATTAAAACAGGCATTTGACCACACATTGGTTTTGCAAATCATTTTCCTTTCCCTTAACTTCCTTTAGTGCCATATAATGACCTATCATTTTCCAGCACCCAAACAAGGAATAAGAGATAGAAGGCTATGTAGCAATCCAACAAAATGAGCAGCCAAATAAACTAAAGTGCAGTACACATTTACAAGTAAAGTCCAAATGGTTTAGAATGGTGTTGAAGTAAGTATTCATTAAGTCTGTGTCACTAAATAAACTGAAGACTTTTCCAAGAATCAGGGTAAACCGCACATGAAGCAACCAAAACCAGTTATCTTCCCGGGAAAACATACTAACTTGACTAACAAAACAACTCATGCTATATTCAAAGTTAAGGCAGTAAATAACTAAACATATCCGATACAAAACTCTGCTTTGTGGCTAAGGTAAAATAACAACTAAAAAGGAAGTTCCAAACTTATTCACTTTTCCTCCATTTTGGCAGAGCAACCAATCTGAGGACGTAAAACAAGACACGAACAAAATATAAGAAATAGATTAACATAAAGTAAAGGGAGGACATGCAACTCACACGGCTCTCTCGTTGTGCTTGCCGGCCTTCCAGTAAGCGTAAGCCATGGTAAACTGGTAAAGATCCGTAAGCAGAGGCGTAACCATCGGGTTAGTTGGACCATCCACAGCTCGACCCGACTGCTTGGCGCTCGGACCATTCGCTTTCGCGTCCATTTCGATATCCACCAAATAGAAAAACTCGATCAATTCTAGGGCTCCTTTTATCTCTTGTTTATTTTTGTTTCCCAACTTTCCCCACTTGTTGTATGAATCGCCGAGTGTTCAGTGAAGGTTAACGATAGTGCGGTGGTGTATTTATATAGCGAAACCAGACGTGAGCGTGACGAAGAAGACGAAACCAGCCATGGAAGCGGAAAGGAAAAAGAACTTGCTCTTCGGTCCTCACGATTTATATAGAAGAAAAGACAGTCGTCGATTTCCAATTTCTTGAAGAGACCGTTGAAAAAGCAGGCTTTCTAGTTATCGTCCTACAACATAAAAACGGGATTTAATAAAATTTAATTTTTGGTTTCTGAACCAGCCTACAATTTGTGGTTTATACCTTTTCTATAAATTCAAAAAAAAAAAATTTCCATTTTTAAATAAGAAGAATATAATATATTTTAATAAAGAAATGTTTTAAGCCATGAAAAATAATAAGCATTGTGGATAAACAAGATATATATATATATATATTTAAAGAAATTTAATTATTCTTTTTAATTTTGAAATTTTAGCAATAATGGGTAAATGTAAATACAATAGGCAATAAATAATATTTTCTTTAATTTCATTCATAAAAAATTAATTATTTTTCAACTATCTTAACAATTTAAACTAATTTTATTTATATTTTTAAAATTTTCGAATTCTATCTATTTTAAAATCTTCGTCTTATTTTATAAACTTAAGATTAGAAATAAAGTCAATTTAGAATTTTACTTGGAACAAAAATTGGTCTAATATTCGTACTAAAAAAAAAAAACTTAGTCTACTTATGATATTTTTAAAACGAATTTAAAGTTAATATAAAATTTACTTGCAAATTTAGGATTATTTTAATTAGAAAAATAGAAATTCTATCAATAAATTATAATATTTGAACTTATAAAAAAATTAATATGATATATTTCAAACTATGTTAATTTTGGTCAAATTTAAAATGTATTATCTTAATTATGTACAAAATTTTAAACAGAAAAATACATGTGGGTTGAGGCACTATTTGGGTTTTAAAGGAAATTAGAGCAACTATTTACTCAGCCCTAATCTCTATCTTCTGTTTATTTATTATCATTATCTCAGCCTCAATTTGTTTAATCTGTTTTTTTTACTCAATAATGATAACACTAATTACTATTAGAGAGAGAAACAAGAGAATGTTTGGAAATAATTAGTACTAATTATTATTTTTTTTATAAATAATAATAATAATGATAATAATAATAATATTTTTTTTTTAAAAAAAAGACCTAATAGCACCTAATTCCACTTGCATTTTTTCATTTAATTTTTGTCAATGTTTAAAGTTTGATAATTATTATTTTTGTTACAAATAATAATAATAATATTTTTTAAAAAAATTTAATAATACTTAGACCCATATATTTTTTTCTATTTAAATGTTTTCGATCTCTAAAATTTAAAAAGTTTTACGAACGAAGATGATATTTAAAATTTTTAAAAATTAATTAAGTATTTATCAAAATTTTATATAAACTTATTTTTTATTATTTATAACTAAGAATCCTATTATATTATAATTAAAACAATATAAATTTATAAATAAATTTTTGCATAAATTTAAAAATTATTCCAAAACATAATCTCAATTAACAATTTAATTTCAATAAATGAGAATAAAACTCACAAAATAAAAAGTATCCAATTTTAAAACTTAACATTCAATTCAAATCATTAAAATTAAATTAGTAGTCCACCAAAGGAATATTACACTTTGTTATTTTTTGTTTTTGTTCTTACTCTATAGAATTTATTAAATCAATAAATCATTTTAAGACCATCATATATTTTTTTTAATAAAAAATAATTAAATACTAACACTACTAAGTTTTTTTTTTTTTATATGTTTAAGTCTTAGTCCTATATATTACTGTTGCATAAATACGACGGTTTTATTTATAGTTATCATTTTTATGTATTTAAGTCTTTAGTCACAGCCGACATGCTAAGACTTAAATACTAAGTATTTAGATGAACAAGATGAAATGTTAAGTCCTTGATTATGTATTTATACACAATTTGGACAGTTCGAAATGCATTTAACCATTAATATACCGTATTCCAACGCACACGAATGCATCAGAGTCACTATAAAACAAAGAATTAGATATCATAACTCATCAAGCTTTAAATATTTGATGGGTAAATTATAATTATGCTTAAAAAATAATTGATTATCTTCCTTCAGTTGTGAGAATTTTGTTTCACAAAGTGTTTCTTTTTCAGAAATTCAAAGTAATAATATACTACTAATAAATAATAATAAGAACATTCAAATGGTATAAATATATTTAAGGCATTGGGCCAGAGTCACTTTAAAAATCTTATTCACAGCTTTGTTGGTAGGCTGTATCCCACTTTAAATTATTGGAAGAATATCTTAGTGGTTTTTGGGCAGTCATATATCTATTTAGTTAGAATCCTGTTTAGAAAATTAATCACAGAAATCGCAATTTTATTACAACTGTTTTTCAAATGTCATATTATTTAGAGTTATATATATATATATATATATATGGTTTACCATATTCAGTTGCCAGTTTCTGAAATGCAGGATCATCATGTAATGAAACTTTCACATTAATCACATATAGTGGTGAACAGGAAAGGGCATACCTGGCAGACAGCAGGTACAAAATGAGACATCTCAGTTGATAATTAAAGAAGCCAAAAGAAAGCTGGAGTTACATGACTGCTCATCCTAATTAATCACAAAGACTGGCAAAAGAATTGATTGGATAAATTTTTCTGATACAGATTTGCTTCATGGTTTAGAGGCATGTGAAATTACCACTTTCATGTCAGGGTTTGAAAAGAAGTTGCTGTATGAAATCCATGGAGTTAGTAGAATCATGAGCCCAGCAAACTGGTCATTCTGTTTTAGTCTCATCATTGGTGGTACTTCTCCTTTGCATCCTAGTGAAAAAAAAAAGCAGATAAGTTAAGGCACAGACGAGTATAATCCAGGAAAATGAATCTGATGATGAGTAGATAATACACTTACCCGGTAAACTGCGAAGATAAAATTAGATTATGTTCATTGTTCTTTAGAAGCATGCTTTCTGATTCATCTCTTCCTACGGCAGATACATCTAAAGAGCTACTTTCCTTTGGATTGGATTGATTTGTATTAAGAGGAATTGAAACTGAAGTCAAGCTTCCCACTTCAAAAACTTCCGGGACATTGAAGGAGTGTTAGACAAAGGGCTTAAGAGTTAAGGACTCAATTTTCCATTTCTTGAATACAAATATCATTAGGACAAATTAAACAGAAAGCAGATTTACTGATTTAGCACCTACATAATAAAAGCATACTGTTCTCGTTATATTAAAGAATTGTAGATTTAATGTGGTAGACACCAACCTGATGAATTAGTCTTGGAAGTTCCAATATTCATTTGATGATGATGTGGTAATGCATCTTCCCTGCAGACTTCCTTCACCATTTGAAACTGTAAGTTGATTGGCTAATAACAACATTCCTGCAGAAAACAACCCTTATAGGGGTTTACATCAAGCTTACCTCTGATGAATTTAGTAACTGGAATGGCCCGAAGTGACCTTGGATTGGTGATTCTATACCAAATGGGCTTGTTGTGTTGATTATATCTGGCACATTGGGTATAGACATGTGGTTTGAAGGAGTACATTGATTGGGTAGACTAAACACAGGTGGCACTAGAGTTTCACGGTTTACAGGACGCATGTCACTCATGTTTATATACAAAGATCCATTGTCTTCGCTAAAGCTCATCCGTGTCTGGGAGAGTTGCGTGGGTTGTAAAGCTCCAGGCAAGCACAATGGACGCAAGCTTAATCCATTTCGCATTGATAACATCTGCTACGTCAAAATAAACAGACACATATTGCATTCCCACTCTTTCAGTTCAAACTGATAGAAATACAACCAAGGTACTTCATTTGATTGTGGTAACACTACGAGGATGAGAATCATAAAGTAGATAGATGTATGTCAAACTTGTGGTGCTCACATCTCTCTCTGCCATTAAGCAAGAAATGGGCAGTTTTGCTTTCAGGCATGATAAACAAATAACACCTAATGCACTTAAGTTTCTGATAACTTTTCCATGATGAGAGTGATGACATATTTCAAGGTGAATTAGAAGCATTGATCTAATAAAGGGATACCCCTGCTGTCTCAGACAACTGTACTTAAAACATTTCTCAGGAAATGTTTCTCAAAGCTTGTCCATGATAATGCACATGGGAAATATTTAGTCCCTGGATCTAGCAACTTGATCACAACTGCATAATTCATCTCACAGAAAAATTTCCACGAGAAAAAACCAAGGAAATTTCAAACGGATTCTGGAAAAACAAAGTTTCGATTAATCTGTTCTTCATTTCTTTGCCAGTAAAGCTAGTTGGAAACAATGTCTACTTTTGTTACCTTAAAGCTTATCAAGAGCAGTTTTTCAGTAACGGGTTTTGGAAGAGTGCAAAGCTATTATTAGAAGACACATTACCAAGAATTAAAAGAAAAAGAACCAGTGTGCAATAACATTTGCTCCGGAATAAAAAGAAGCATTGGAATCTTCTATTCTAGCAAAACTACAAAAGCATCATAAGTGTTGCAGACTCGCAATTCTGTAAGGACGAAAACTAGATTCTTGTGCAGAGTTGGTTTTGTTCCCAAAATGTTCATGTTCAAGAAAGCCCTCAGAAGTATCCATGCCCATTACTGACGTGAAGACAAGCTGACATAATGGTATTTGTGACTTCTTACTTGGCCTTGCCAAGGCTTTAGAATAATAGGTTGGCATGGAAAAAAACTGAAAACATATGTAATTTTAGAAATACAACGGGAAAAAGGAGAGCATACCAATGCTTTGTTAGTGAAATCACAAATATAAACAGAGCTGTATCGCATATGATTATTGCAGCTTTTATCGTTCAAAACATCAGCTAATAGTTCTGTACTGATGGCACTCTTATTTTACACACCCGATTCAAAAATACACCTTATGTCAGCTCTAGAATAGATAAGGACTCCATACAGGATAATGTTTAGATAGAAAAAAATTTTGCTACTCTAGGCGTAAATTCTTTACCTTCAACCTAGTTGTTTTATGTTCGAGACAGGACAAGATCTTTGAAACTTCACTGACATTGTCACAGCAGCGTGACTTTGTAAAAAAAGACTGTCCTTACTTTTTCATGCCAATTACAACGGATAAATAACAGTTGATTTTTCTCTTTCAGTTCACTTAAAGCAAAAAAGAACTGAGATTTTGGGGGGTCAGAGTTTCTTTTCCTTTTTGAAAGAACATTTTATTCCATTTAAACGCGGGATTACTCAGAGAAGAGATAGAGGGACTCCAGAAAAACTTAATTTATTCAACAAGTTTTCCCTCGTGTATTGATAAATATTTTTTTACAGCAAACAACTTACAGAAATGCTATGAAGTATGCATAAATCGTCCGTGAAATACTTTAAAGTCTCTCCAATGCGTATAATTTACAAACTAATTTATGATACGTTTCTTCAGTGTGAAATAAATACATTAAAATCAGAAAAGAAAAACTTATGATAAGTTTTATTTGATGAAGAAGAATTTAAGATGGTAAAACAAATTTTCATGAGGCAGCTATGTTGTTAATACCATATTCTTGTGCATGACAAGTTTGGATTTGCAACTTAATTTAATTCATAGTCGCAAAACAAATATGAAAATTCATGCAAAGATTGCCGCAAACCTGTACTTGAAGCTGAAGCTGCTTGAGATACTCAATTGCTTCATCAAGCATTGAAGCCTTATCCGTCTGACATGAATGAAAAGACCAAACCACTCAACAACATTGACTCAGCCCGTAAGGCAAAGCAAAAAGGCGAACAAGACTAGCATTTAGCATACCTTGTTCGAATTAGGAATTAGATTTTGCAACGCTTTCATTTTCTCGTTTATCCTACTCCTCCTCCTCTGCTTATAATCACAGAAATCAGAAGTCATGTACAATACTACAGGCTTAGAACAAGGGCCTTGAAAGGAGACAAGACCTTCTCTGACAGATTGTGAACCTCTGCAGCTCTGCTTCTCTTTGATGAACCACGCGGTGGAGCTGGCTTTGGCGGCTGTTCGTCTATCAAAGTTTCCAGACCCTCCTGCGGCAAAATTTACAATTGAATATGCAAAGAAACTCTAAAAAAAAATCAATAAATATTTAAGAAACAGAACAGAGAAGATATTTTCTTATTCTTAGACTTCAATTACTTGTTTGCTTTCTCCCACAAATCTTTCCGTAATGAATATATTTATTGGTTACTTAACAGAGTGTAATAGAAAATCCGATCGTATAACTTCCACCATCCGATCACTAAAAAATAATTAAACAAAAAAATTAACTAGTCCAAATTTACTTCTTCAACTACAGCTTTCTCGGTCTTAAAAAATGAAGAGAGAAAAGAAGTAAAAAATCCCAGCTCTCACATTTTATCATCCGTCAACCAAACAGAGAAGAATCAGAACCGCGAAAGTACCTCGCTCTCGCAGTCATACTCTTCAGTCTCGTTCTCGCTCACCGCAACCGAAGACCCCGACACGTTGGCAGCATTCCCTCCCACGTTCCGCGAGAAACAAGCTGCGGATGAACCATAACCCGCCACTGGGCCCGGGCTCGCCCGGTCATACAAATCCACGTCGCAGATCCCACGCTTCGCGACGTTCGATTGGGAGATGGACGGCGGCGTCGAGGAGCACGGCTGCACCTGCGGGCTCGCTCGTACAGCAGCAGCCGACGGACATGAAGACGATAACGATGACGAGGAACGGACGAGAATCTGCCGGAGAAAAAGCGAGATTTCGTCGGAGGAAGACGGAGGACTGTAATTGTGATTATTATGACCGTGATCATAAGCCGATGAAGAAGGCGAGCAGTTATTGTTGATACTTTCCTCCATTACTTTTTTTCCTCTCTCTGTGTTTCTTGAATTCGTTGTTGGAAGAATTAGGTTTCGGTTCACTGTTTTCGCTTTCGGTTTCTCGCTAGTCGTCTTGTTTATAAGAGCAAAGCAAATGGATTAGCAACAGAGTATTATGGGCGGGGGTTTTAATCAAATTTTGGGAAAGGAAAAAAAACGAACGGAAACGATAATGAGGTCACGCGCTGAAAAAAGCGAGTAGAGAGAAGTATTTTTTCTCCGTTTATAGGGGAGGGAAAAGAGGCAAATGATTGGACTGTCAAATGTTAAAAATGACAGGACAGGGCATGGTAACAAAATTTCGTTCTGTCAGGCATGTCGCAGGTGAACTCCACTACCCTTCGCACGTGAGTAACACTAAATATCATTTTATGTATATATATTTTTTAAAAAATTAATTAATTGAATATCAGTATCTTTCACCAATTTTCCTCCGTACAGGACGCAGATCCTTGTCCTAGCAACGTGTCAATCAACTGTAGCTTAATAGTTTCGCTTAATGATGATATACACTAATTTTATAACATATGAAATATTAAATTTGGCCAAGAACACACATCCTTGTATACATTCATTTTTTAAAATTCGTACATTCTATTTTTAAATGGGTAATTTAAAAAATTATTTAGTTGAAAATAATTCGACCCACAAATTATACCATGAATTATTATATATATATATATTTGGAGCAATGATCAAAAACAAAAAATGAATTCTTCGATTATGTGTTCTGACCATCAACATGCTGAGGATATTATATTTTATATGAAAACAATTATTAATTTCATATACATACACATAATATAGTATTTAATATGAGGTGGGCAAATTAGTTGGTAATATATACAAATATTTTGTTGATTCCTTATACGACTACCGACACCAACCAAAATCATTTTCATTTGCACACTGAAAATTTATTATAATGACAGGATTTAGAATGTGTATTAGTTAAATCAACATTAGAAAATAAACGATACCCCCAAGATGATTTCGAAGCAGGTGATTAACGAGTTAAGTCGCTGAGCAAATTACGGTTTAATTAATAAATTATCTATTTAAATGTATTAATTAAATCTAATAAAAATAATGGGTTAAGCAAATTATTGTATTTCGTTATAATTTGAGTAACATATTTTATTTTTGTTACGGTATTTGATTAGAATTACTTGTTAAGTATAAATTACGTGTAAAAGAAATTAAAATGTATGTTTACAATTAGTTTAAGAGACTTAAATTAGGGTGCAAATAGAAGTTAATTAAATGGAGTAAAAACAGAGTGGGGCATGCAAATTGTAAATTAGTATTTATGGAGATAACGATAATGTCACTGCTGCAGCAACTGGAGCACGCCCGAGGTTATTGTCTTCGCGTCCTGTTAAAATAAACTTGAATACGATAATGTTGCAGGATGAGTGTGTCTCTGCGTGTGTGTGTGTGTATATATATATATATTATAAAAAAAAAATATTAAGTATTATATTATATACAGGAAACGACGACGCTTCTGCCAAGTAACCATCAGATAGGTTTCACTTTTGCAGTAGTGCGTAATTGTTAATTAGCTGTATATCTGTCCATACATACACACACACACACACACACACACATATATATATATATATATATATATATACATAGGCTGGATTCTTTAATGGATATGAATGGGAGTTAATGCCTTTTACATGTAAAATTTAATTTGATTTTACTCCAAGAAAGTTGACGTACCAGAAATAAATGTTATCATGATTCTAGGGCGCTCTAATTAAAAAAAACATATATATATATATATATATATAGATCGTGCTGATATTTAATGTAGGTCGGTAGAATGAGGTTGTAATTACGGCAAAGATAATTTTTAGGGAGGGATTTAGTGACGTAAAATATAATTAAAAGATATATATATATATGTGTGTGTGTGTGTGTGTTAAAGAAAATATTACAGTAATTCAAATTGACATAATAATCTTACATTTTGGTATCTCTTTTTCATTAATAATGTTGAGAAAAATTCAGAGAAATTAACGAAGGCCGGCAAGCACCTCTTAATTCAAAGAAATCAATTTGTTGTTTGGTTCAACAGAAAAAAAAAAAAGAGGAAAAAAAAAAAAGCCGAAACACAGAAAGCTTATTTGTCCCAGGAACTAATCTGGTAACCAAAAGGACAATGAGCAGCAGTGTTATGAAGTTCTGGGCAGTCGCCATTTTAACCACACTGCTTCGTTGTAATTCCTGAGTTAGGAGTCCATTTTTGAGACTGACCAGAACACTTCCCACACGTTCTGACGCACACCCAAAAGCAGGAAAATAAAAGAGAGAAGAAAAAGAAAAGCTACCCAGACAAACCTTTTACTACTCATGTATATATATATATATATATATATACATATTCAATTGACGTATTCAAATTGTAGTCCATACAGATTATAATGGCTACACCTGCAAATATATATTCCTTTTAGCGAGTAGGTACAGCATGAGTTTCACCAGTTTTAACAACTCTACGGATCGCCACTCTTTTCCATTTTCCCACTACGTACAAAACTTTGCTACTCCTCATATATTATGTGGATATATAGCAGCGTATGCATGGAAAGAAAATTTGAAAGGAGACTGGTTTCGTTAGCATGTAGTCCGAAGGGACATGAATTTGGTCAAAAGGATCAGAATTCAGACCTCTCGCCATCTATCCCAACGAATCACTGTCATGTCCGACCCGAACGACACCTTAACCGGACGCGAATAAAATAATAATAACGATGATGATGTCGACAACTATTTATTAATGTGTTTAGCCAGCCTTTCCTGACTCACGATCTACACGCGGCGCTCTCTGAATCGGTAGACAGATCACGTATCCAACCCCCCTCTCTGTTTACTCCACGGACGGGACCACCGGAGTATCTGCGTCGCCATCATCAAACGTCATTCGCCCCATCAACAATCAGACACAGCAAGTAATGAGAAAACTCCACTCTCTTTCTCTTCTATTCGGTGGGGTCCACGAGTTTTGGGACGTTGACGTGTCGATTGGATATGGTGATTGGGTGCATAGGGATGTGTACTTGTTCCTGACCCTACTACACGATCTGTTCAGCGCCTGATCCGACGGTTGACCATTGCTGAGGTGTCTGATTTGATTGGTCGGGCTTGAAATTCAGCTTGAGAACGCACGTATCGTGTCGCTATTTGTCTCCGTCTGTTGCCAATTACGAGGATAACCGACGGTTTAAACTTGAGAAAAAAGAACTACAATATTTTTTAAATGTTCTTGTAATATCTTGAAGCGAATTCAAAATAGTTCGAATTGTATAATCGTAGATTAGTGACATTGATAAACGACCTAACAATTATTAGTACAACTCAATTATTAAGGTGAGTAAGTCGGGTCGGTCTTGAAAAATTTGGATTCTTAAAATAGGTCGGAGTTGATTAGATTGTGTTTAGCTATTTAAAGGGGTTTAGGGTAAAAATGTACTAATACGATGTTTTGTCTAATTTCTAATTTAGAAAAAGATAGGGTAGAAAGAAAAAAGGTACTTCAATTGATTTTCATATTGCATTGGGGGAAAATTAAGAGTGGTTTATAAATTAGAGAAGTATAAATAAAATATATCTGTATTTGTTTCAAAACATATCTTTAAATAAGACACTATTTGTAAATAAATGTAAAGAAATTTTTTAACTCTTATGAAAAAGAAAAAAAATAAAATATACTTAAAATATAATTTAAGTTTTTAGAGAAACAAAAGTCGAACGAAAAAATAATTTATTATTTTTCTCACGTGATAAAAACGATTCAAACTAGTAATATTAAGAAAAAAAGTAAGATATGAACGTCTAGTAAAAACACGATGCTAGAGATAACTTGTAAATAAATGAAAGAGTAAAATATATTAATTTTAATAAAAAGAAAGAAAAATAAAATATAATTAAATAGAATTTAGTAACAAAAAAAAAAGAATCTTCGAATCCAACGAACTTTTTTATTTGATTTTAAAAGTAAATAACATTTTTAGTTGAAAAAGAACATATTTCTATTTCGAAAAAATATATACTTCAATTTTTGAGAAACAAAAGTGACAAAAATTATTCATAATAATAATACTGACAATAAAAAAGTAAGATAGAAACATCTAATTATGGCATAATATTAAAGACGATAATTATTCAATCTATAAATTTAATAAATAATAAATAACCTACTTAAATACAATAATAATAAATAATTTTCTATTCCTAAGGCATTCCTTTAATAGTTTTAAAAAAGGCTGATGTTACTGACCTATTAGTTTTATTCTTAAAAACTATTTATACAAATCAAACTTAAGTAATTAAAAAATGTTATATTTCTCTTTATTCTCTTAATTAATATTGTAGATGATATATAGTAATTTTAACAATATAATTAAAGATAATCATGCATTTCATAATAAAAACACAAACTGCAAAGATAAAAATAATTAAGGTCCATAAAACACACTTATTATGCATTGCAAAAGAAATACCAGATTATAAAATGTCTAACATCAAACCGGCCTTGACATGAAAATTGCTCAAAAGGTCTTAAAGTCACCATATTGCCTTCAACAAAACCTACAAAGCTCGATGATTCTGTTTCCATTTGGAGGCTTCGATCCATAACCATAAAATCCTTTTATTTGGATCTACGAGTAGTACAAACTCATAAAACCACAAAAGGAAGAAGCTTGAAAGAATCAGAAGACTTTGTGTATGGTAAAAAAAGTAATACCATAATAAGGGATACCAAGCTATATATAAATATGTCATTGGCCTGACCAGATCCAGCCTTATTTATATAACAATAAACGATAAAGGAAAATTAGATAATGTTTATTAAAAGGCCAAACTATGAATGACCTAATATATGATTATTCTGCCATTGAGGGATTAGTGAGCGACCACATCCAAACCCTTCCTCTTGCAGATAGGACAGGTGTTATTCATCACCAACCACTTTGTGATGCAGTTGGAATGAAACTCATGCTCACAGTCCAGTTTTCCAATTTCATTTCCTTCCTCATAGTTGTCCTACAAATTATGAACCAAAACATGATTTAGGTTCACTAATTAATGGATGATCATTTTCTATCTT